AGTTAAAAATCATGAGAGTAAACCCCTTTTTGATATATCATCAAAACATAAATATAAAGATAGTGTTACCGCTATCTATGTGCAATTGCCAAGTCTGTTTACATAACTACGGATGAAATGCTTGTAAGAAAACAAAAAACAAAAAACAGAGCAAAGTTTGAAAGGGATTTAAAGGCCAAACCGACGCTTATGGCAGGGCGATATCAGGCCCACAATTGCACCTCCCTCCTTCATTGCTACTTCGAGGCGTTGGTTAACTTATTTGTGGCGGAGGGGGTTGAGACACATCGCACTTTCGCTTGTTCGTTTTGCTAGTACACGTCGATTGAATAAAGTTTGAAGGCGATTCAAAGGCTCAGTGCACGCTTACCGCATGGGCGGAGTTGCCTCTGCAATTGCACCTCTTTCATTGCTGCGCTGAAGTGATGTTCGGCTTAGGTGGGGAGAAACAGGGGAGGGGCATTTCACCCTTTTTCCAGTTCTTTCTGCTGGTTCTGGTTAACTAACTAGTCTCACACTAATGAGACCTGTGGCCTCTTGCAGCTTCGGTCCTGCAGAAGTGAGCCGCTCAGATAAAGGAATGGCCCGCAAAAGCACTGCTGAGCATCATCTGGTGCTCCATTGAGCCGAGCTGTGCGTGCTCTCCTTCTCTTCGCCATTTAGAAGGGTACGATCACTGGAGAAGATAGTCCCGCCCATATGATCATCGTGGACTGTGCCTTTAAGAAATTTTGTAATTATGGCGTGGGGCGATATATTGACCTTTCAGCTGCAGGAATTGAACTGCTGAAGCGTGCAAAAGTTTTGAAAGCGTTCCACAGAAATTTTCATGCGGTCCATGACACGGCGCTTCAGAGGGGTATGTCAGGTGCGTGGGGTGTGGCTCGGTGAAGTCGTATTATGTATCCGTACTTGCCGGCCTGGAGCAGCCTCAGGTCCACATCCTCTTGCACGCCCTATCAATGTGCCGTGTTATGGGCTGTATATTGACTATAAACGCGAGCAATTTTGAATACTTTGCGGTGGCTGAGCTGCCATCTACCCTCAAACGTCAGTGGCTATGTGCCTTACTATCGGCTTTGCCATGGCTCGTGTTTGGTAGCTCCACAGACGAAGAATAAATAAATAAATAATATATATAAAATAAATAAAATAAATAATAAAAAAATAAATAAAATAAATAAATAATAAATAAATAATAAATAAATAAAAAATAAATGAAATAAAATAAATAATATGAATAAATAAAGAAAAAACTAAGCTAAGAATTGCAGATCTGGCTGGCTGATGATATTCGATTGTAACAGCGCTCTCCTGTACCGTAACGCCGCTATAGTTGTTTCCTCTCCCACTTCGCTTCCTTCCCTCCATTTTAAATTGTGAGAATTGGTCCTGGAAATTGGTGCCTCTCGAAAGGATCGTCACCCGTACGTTATCAAGCAGAGGCCCCTCCTGTTCGATACGTAATCGATGTAGAATATGATGAGCAAACGCATGCATTAGTCCTGTACCGTGGCAACCTGTTTCCTGAATGGCTTGCGACTTGCAATAACGAATTGAAGAACGAGTTTTACAACTAACCAGTGGAGTGTTATAATAGAGACCAAAAGCCTGTCTTGCTAGTAATGGGAACATGGCGCTTCCCATTAAAAGCAAAAACCGACGGCCAGCCATGACAGTTATTGACAGGCTTGAATCCAGAAAAATGCTTTCACGTGTCGCAAACCACGGCGTGTCAACGAATCCACCACTTGAAATGTGTCCACCCAGACAATGGTCGACCTGTAAAAATGATTTTCCTCTGGAGCTGTTCTCTTACGGCCAGTTCAAGCACATGGCACTGGGCGGCTGCAGTATGTCACCGAGGACGGTCCTTATTCGATTCGCTAGCAGAAAATGGGTTGTTCACACTTTCACACACATTGTAATAAAGATATATAGACCATGTTCGGGGGGGAGAGGTGGAGAGGTTTATTGGACATTTCTGCACGTCGCTACTCCCCACCGCCTGTTCACTGTTTATATAAGAGGCTGGCAGCAGTGATTCTTCAGCAAGGTATTATACGAGTGGTCCAGGCAAGTGAGTCCCTAGAAAATTGATTGCGAGTCATTTCATGCGCTTCATACAGGGATTGTCACAGGGTCTCGTATGTTGATGGTTCGAACGGATGAAGGATGAAGTAGAGAAATGCAGGATGTCCCCTTAAAACCGCAAACTGTTGCGAGAAATGATCGCAGTATTGAGGATTTACCGGGTCAGTACTCTTATAGATCACATTTATAACTCATGCACTTTTCCTTCACAAATTTACTACTTCACAATACACCAGATTTTTTGCTGCCAACCATGGTTTTCACCATCGGGGGACACCGCCATCGCTGTGATGTAGGTTCACAAGCGAAGGTTGGGGGGGGTGGTTCCTATTGCACGCTGGGGGGAGGGGGGGGGGGGGGGGGGGAAGGTCATTATTTTGGTTCTGAGAAATTTTCTTTTTGATTAGTTGATTACTTTTTGCTTTCATGGCCGCTGTAAAGGGGGGGGGGGCGGTACTTGGGAGACTGAAACTGAAAAAAGATGTACCTAACAACAACAACAACAAAACAACAACAACAACAACAACAACAACAACAACAACAACAACAACAACAACAACAACAACAACAACAACAACAACAACAACAACAACAACAACAACAACAACAACAACAACAACAACAACAACAACTGTTACTTACAAATTACTATTCTCGATAGTGAAAATGACGGGGGGGTTAGTTTAATATTGACGACCTCCCTCCCCCCGCGCTGCGACAGCCAAATTTTGCGGGGCGAAATAAAACTAGGGTAGAAAGGTTTGGTGAACATCTAGTAAGATATGGTAGCTGCGCGGAGGGGGTTCGGGGTAGATGAGTCTGGAAACTTATGGAGGGGCCGTATTTTTCAGGAACTGATCACAACGCGATGACGTGCCCTGATCACCATACTTTACTTATTTAGCATTTCGTTGACCCCTACTCACACAGCAACCTTGTGCGGCGCAAGGAATTTACTGTGTATCCCTTGAGACACAGGCGAAAGTTGACTACCTGGTACACTATTTAAACTACCTTGTTGCAAAACTTGTTGTTTTGGTCTATTTGATATTGACTATTGGACTGGGCCACTCATTCAGATAGAATGTATGGAAGTAGGGAGGGGAAAAATTTCAGTCGTTTTTTCGTTGAAGTACACATTCCTCTTTTGCGTCTTTCTCCTCCTTCCCCCTCCCCTCCCCAGCTGGTCAGAGTCGTCGACGATTTCTGTTTCTGGAAAATTGTAGTCAGACGGAGTAGGACTTTCAAACTGGGTCAGGAATTTTTTAGAGTATGAAGGGAATATTTCAATAGTTTTCAATGCCACATGCACTTTCTCCTCTTCCCCAATAATCTACTCGGAACAGAAATCAAAGCACGTCGTATGTTCAGGATTCCCAGCGAGAAGTCGTATTTGCGTGGGTTCGTATTTTTGCCAAAAAACTCCCCCCCCCGCCCCCAGCGACTGATGATATTTCTTTTACAGGGAGGCGGCTGTAAGAAATGGTGGAGTTACTTGACGTCTCGCTTGAGCACACTTTTAAAAGGGTCGTACAGGGAGTAGAAAGTCGTACTAAACGATCTACCTAATCGGATTACCCTGTAGCAGCACTAGCAACTTACCTGCTGATTAAATGATCCGTTGATGTGCTGTGAAGCATATAGGTTGACAAAATCGCAGAAGTGATGGTACATGTTCACAGAGGCGTCCAGTTTCATCACAATTGTCGGTCTTTCGAAAATTATGTCACAGTGTTCGTCGTCCACAGTGAAAGAAGGCCACTGACTCGAAGTTGTTATAAAACTCGTCCGCCCTGAACAAGGCTGTATTCCGAATGTAAACCAGTTGCTAACAGCTGCTCAACAGGTGATTCTTGTCCATTTTGATCGACAAATATCTTCATAAACAGGCCGAAGTGGGTGGGAATCCACACAGCGGAGATGCGCAAGAACAGAAAACCATCTCGGGCTGGTCTTTACTTTGCGGCAGCGTAGCGTAGCGTAGCGCAGCGTAGCGTAGCGCTTCCAGCGTACGCCAGCGGCAGTGCCGAAGAGAGGATGCATATCGATCTAGCTTCACCAGCGTCACCAGCGGCACGCTGGCGTACGCTAGCGGCACGCTAGCGTACGCCAGCGTTTCTCCAGCGTTTCACCAGCGTTTTGCTAGCGTTTGCAGCGGCAGGGGAGTAGAGACTATGGGAGAGCTGGAGGATACAAAACAAATCGATTGCGCGTCTCTCACTCGCCCTTAGTCTCTACAATGCACATCGGCGTTTCCTGGTCTTGCGACGGGCACATAGTATCTCACAATGGCCACAGTCGCTTCTGCGTCTCCGACGGGCCATCAGTCTCTACAAATGCACATCGATTTCTTGCCGGTCTCGACGGCACATGCGTCTACAATACACGTCGATTCCGCGTCTCTCACGGCCACATAGTCTCTACTCCCTGCCGCTGCAAGCGCTAGCAAAACGCTGGTGAAACGCTGGAGAAACGCTGGCGTACGCTAGCGTGCCGCTAGCGTACGCCAGCGTGCCGCTGTTGACGCTGTGAAGATAGATCGATATGCATCCTCTCTTCGCACTGCCGCTGGCGTACGCTGGAAGCGCCACGCTACGCTGCGCTACGCTACGCTACGCTGCCGCAAAGGTATAACGCAGCTTAGGCTAGGGTTTGACTGACATTAGCACACTTAATCTTCTTGATTTTCACACTTCAATTTCTAAAATTAGAACACAGGTTTTCCATATAAAAACACCCTGTGTAATGCCACTTTTGCCTCATAACCGCAGCCTAAATCCAATCAACGGTCAAACAGGGTACAGCATCATGATGTCTGAAATGATGGTGTCAGTACGACCTCCCCTCGGCGCTGTTCGGCGATGGGAGGCGAGGCGGGGCATTTTGCATTTTCGCTACTTCCCATCCACATGTCGACCCATCTAGACAGCCTCTTTTCGAGTTGACAGGATTTACCGTGATGGCTTGACGAATTTGCTCCAGCTTCACAAGAGCTCACAGGTTTCACCAGAGTGAGATTTGTAAGCGAAACTTAAGTGGAAGCTTATGAAAGGTGCAAAATTTGCCTCGTCTCGCCGAAACTGCCCCCCCCCCGACCCCCTGCCCCTGTGAAAGAGGGGTGTCGAAATGATCCACTCTCTCAAAAAGATAGAATACGACCCCCTCCACAGCGGCATTGTATGACCCCTCCGTGTGTATTCACAACCATGCTGTACCATGCCGTCAAACCTCTGATCCCTCCTGGACGATCCAGAAACTCTCCTTCGTTGACAAGTTTGGCTTCGTAGGGGCACCCAAATGGTAGGGGCACCTAAAAGATATCGACGAAGCTAGTCCACGCCGCTGTGAGGATCTGTTAGTTCCTGTCGCCAAAGTACTCACACCATTTTAGAGAGCCTCACATTTGTGGCAATTCTCACCATAGTCACTTTTAATTAAAATTAGAACGCAACGGGACTAGCTTACAAAAATGCTCTTCATGCCAACGGCCAGAATTGCCCGCTTTTGGGGGAGTGCCTCTCGCTCGATCAAAGCAAGATTTAGCTAGCAAACTCTTCCTCTAATCTTGAATTCCCTATCTTATGTTTTTCGTATTCAGCATTTTTGGACTAAACCATTATGATTTTTGTTACTCCCACTTTTCCACGAAGATAGCTAGTAATATTCAAATTACACCTGAAAGTAGCAGGATAGCACAATGATAACGCCATACCAACTACGTAAGTAGCCGCGCTCGTTCAGGTTTCCCTTCAAGATCTTGGAGTTGAATTTTTCACAGTTACCACCAACTTCGCCACGCTGGACCACATCCTCTCGATATCTAGAATTCTTACCAGAATAAGTATAAGTTTGTGAAGCTAGTCATAAAAAATATTACCGCTTCGAATTTTTTGCGTTCCAACTCTTGAAATGGAAGAAGATGTTGGCCGCCTGGCAATAGCGAAGATCGTCCGAACATCTCAAACTGCTTCCTCCCTGAGACGAAAATTTCAATGAAGGAATAAATCTGTATTAAAGGAGGAATACTTTTTTGGGATGGCATGCACTGCACTTCTGCTTAGGATCGTAATCAGAAGGTTGAACGCGACTTGTCCCAATCGTTGCTTGCCGAATTCTGCCGCAAAGTGCGAAACCCAGAGCTTTCATATTCCAAGAGTTAGCCACGGATACAACTCTCGAGAAATGGAAAATAAACAGTGTTTGCATGAAAGAGATTTTTGTAAAAAAACGACTCTCCCACTTGCCTTTCAGTACGCCTCTCGCCCCTTCCTCATCCCGAATTCCTCAACTTTCTACCTTATTCCTGGAGTATCCGAAAAGTCCTTCACCCTTTCATCCATTTTCCACAGCAAATTGAAAAAAAAACTAAAAGTAGACCTGATCTTGTGAGGAACAGATATCGTGCATATTGCTTCTCTCAGCAACATATCCAAAATCAGCTTGTTTGTAGAAACGTTCCCTAAAATAGAGGATCTTGTTTGGCTCTATACTGAGGCAGAAAACTTTTACAATGATCACTCTTGGCACGCGCTATTTGAGAGCGTTTATCTGCTTTGGCATTGTTGCAATAAATTTGGCACTGCGGTCATATTTCGGCCTGCGCGCGTGAAAATCGCCGTTATGCTTTGCGGGCCGACCAGCACGAACACAGCCTCGGCGTTAGAATTTGGTTCACACTTTCCCAAATTGTTGCCACCTCGTGAGGACTCAGATAAAAAATCTCAATCCATCTCCCAGCGGATGTTCGAAACATGATCGTCTTCTTCAGGGACCCTGATCAGAGAAAAATCTGCACGCTCATGCGGATGATTATCAAAAGTCAAATCAAGTTGCACAGTCGCCGCCAACCTTCCGCGCATCGGGTCACATTTCCGTAGGAAGGTAGGTGGCAAAGTGACGGATGACCGTTTGTTAGGCTTAATTTGCAGAGCGCGACAGACAACTGATTGTTTATTGTTTATTGTTCGTACGTTGCATAAGGCAAGTGTGAGAAATAATGCGAATACATAACACAATGTAACTGATGCGCAGTCCTGCAGCGAACGAAATGTTACCGTAGCTGCGCAGTTGCCAAGAATGACCGCAGTCTAATGCGCAGCGCGAGGACTACAACAGCAAGCTACGGCTCGTTCGCTGCAGATGCTGGGGCGTGCCGGGTTCGGCGTGACGTCAGCCATTTCTCACAAACTGTGGGCCACCTTCAAGTTGGTAGAGAACAGGCTGGGGCCCCGTCAAATCCAATCCCCCTGACACGCCCCCGCGTAAGCAGTGAACAAGACTATGAGACTATGCCACACCAACGAGCAAATAAGTGCGCATACCGTTTGGATGACGGCGAACATTTCGGTACACCAAGTTCGGCAGAATAGCTCTTTTCATAGGTGCAGTTTCTTTCATATCCCCAACATCGTCCATTCAAAAGAGCAGCTTCCTTGAAATGAATACGCATGAGAACGCATAATATGATATCAGGTTACATTCTATTCAACATGGTGACGTCAGGCGAGGATCTCAAGAGCCAGCGCGAGCAGGGTACAACATCATTGTGTGAAACACGTGAAGGGGTCGTACTTGGCCGCTGCGGAGGGGGGTCTTATTTCGTCGCTGTACTATAGCGCCCCCCCCTACGGCTCCACAGCGCAATTTTGGGAGAAAATTAGGGAAATTTCCGGGGAAGTTCCGGGAAGTGTTAGGAGGTTAGGGAAAATCTAAGAAATTTTCCCGTTTCACATCAGCTACATACCCCCCTTGACGGAAAACCTCGGAAAATCTTTGGGTGAAAAACTGGAAAATGTGGGAAATTGATGGGTAGGTGTTCGGGAAGGGGGGAGGTCGTACTGACACCCTCCCCCCATCGGAAGGGGTCGTACCTACACCACCATTTCACACATCACGATGCTGTACCCTGAGCGTGAGCAGTGGTGTTGCGAAAGCTAAGACTCCACCGATCCAGCTCTCCAAATAGATACTCGCTCGTGCGGCTTTTTTCTCTCATCCTGGTTGATCGTTATTGTTTAACTAGAACCAGAGTGCGCTATTCAACATATTCCGGACAGCGTGACACACGTGGTGTGTCATGCTTGTCTCTCACAGAAAAAAGCCGCGGTCACATGTGAACGCCAGCGAAATGGGCGCCGATTTGGAATGTGTTGGTCGCACACACGCTGCAGCGCAGCCGCTCCCATCAGGCCACCTGACTTCACCTGGTTTGACAAAGACACGAAGTTTGTATTTTCTGCAAGATTTCACTTACTTCAAATGGACACTCGCCCGTCTGGCACTTCTCTTTGAGAGCTGC